TCCCTGTGTCTTTTCTATAAATACAGTGTGCAATGGGTAAATTGTCACCATTTTATATCTTTTAATTTCACATATGCACATTGTTTGTTTTTGATTTTGTTGACTGCACATTATAGTAGGGTCAGTTGGGCACCGTCTGATAGAAAAAGAACACCGCGATGCCATTCACTCTGCAAAAAATTTGGAAATGGCATGCTGTACTGTTTGGCATTTGCATCAGAAGCTCCAATATGCACATTTCAGAGTGTTTGGCTATTAATCCGAGGAGAGTGCAGAGGATGCTGTCCACCCCACAAAAGATGTACAGAAAGTAATGAAAACCAAATATCTAGTCAACATTATGGTGTTTGGAGTGATCACTAGTGATGGCAACATTATGTCTCCATTCATCTTCACACAGGGCACTAAGCACAGAGGCCTACAAGTGCTGAGGAGTTAGTGCTGCCCTGGGTCAAGAGGGTGGCTGCTGGAAGACCCTATGTCTAACAACAGGACTCTGCACCATGCTAAACGAGCAGGAGAACCCAGTCATGGCTGTCAGACAATATCTACAATCACATCACCCCTCACATCTGGCCACCCAACTTCTTGGACTGCAACCTGCATGATTGTTGTGTGTTGGGTGTGTTTGAGCAAGAAAACAAAACTCCTTGTAGCATCAAAGATGAACTGAAGACAAGGATTATGGCAGCATTCCCCAACTTAAACAAAGAGACCATCCAGAAGAATTGCAGGAGATTCCGAAGTTGTCTGGAGACCATGGTTGAAACCAATGGCAATTTTATTGAATAAATTTACTTTTTACTATGTCAAGATATTTTTGTCTAATTTTGGTGAATATATCTGGTAAAATGGGATGTCAGTGTTATTTTAATTTTTGCATAACTTACACAACAATTTATCCATCACAGCCTGTATTTTCATATCAATTGTTCTGATAAACTTTCTTCTTTTGTAACTCAACTCAACAAATTTAAGTGTAGTACTAGATTGGCAGCTAGGTCTCATTTTATTGATGAAATTGCTAGATGTAACCATAAGATCTATACTAACAGTTTCTTCTTTCACACTTCTCACTTGTGGAACTCTCTTCTGGTTTCTTGCTTTTGTTAAAAACTATGATTTTCAGAAATTTAAATCCAATGTCAGTCATCATCTTCTATCTTTTTGAATCCAGTTCTTTCATTGTCCTTTCTCCACAATAGCATTTTCTCAGTTTTTACCCATCAGTAACCCCTTGAATTTTAGTAGCTTTATCACCTTGTTTGGAATGAAATGATGAAAAAAAAAAGTACCTATTAATTACACTAGTTTAATTACAATTAATTCGTACATCCAAAACATGGCTAGATTAGACATTAAATCTCTAAATTCTTGTAGATAGTCTTTTTATAATTATGGTTAAGATGCTTATGGGTTTTCTTATCCATTTAAAGGCTGTTTTGTCATACCCTGCCTATAGCTGGTAACAGCACTGAGCTGGGGACAGATGGTTGCTTAGAACATGTACAGATATGTCTTCTTGTGCATGCTGGTTTTAAATATACTTTCTCCAACTTGGGAGGAAGATGTTAAAATGGTCTCTTTTTTTCTTCTTTTGCAAACATCTTGTATAGGAGAAAAATTCATTTTCTATGGTTGCATGTAAAATTAGTTCCAGTTAGTTTAAAGAAAAAAAAAAAAAAAACATTAACAGCTGTGACACTTTTTGTCATCATATTTGACAAAGGTTTTTAAATAAATCATTTACCTCAGCATTTCTTAAAGATTTGATAAGAATCTGTATGGTATCTTCATAGGAACGCCCAACCATACGTCCCAATTTCTCATACATGGCTCCAAGACACGCCACAGCAGATCTGAAAAAAAAAAGAAAGGAAAGGAAAATTCAAGATTTCAGAATAAAATTAGTTCTTAACTTCCTTAAAAAAAAAAAAAAACAATCTTCTGAACTGCTTCATGGAAAGAGGGTAAGAAACAAAAGAGAGAGAGAGAAAATGGTATTTGTATAAGAGAATGAGGGAAATTGAGCAAAAGAATGTAGCTGTACCCAATTGTTGTTTTTTTGTGCTGTCTGATTTGAATTCTCCAGACCTCAATTTAACATCATAGACTGCATCAACAATGCTTTATTTTATGCAGGACAGTAGTTGTAGCATTGTTTCTAAGAAGAAGAGAGAGGGAGATAGCGATGGATGCATGTCAACCAGTTGGCTAAAATCTCATAACCACGTGCTAACTTGCCTCACTATGGAATCTGAGAATCCTTAATTTTTTGCAGCTATCCAAGTGTCTTTGCGCCTTTTTGGTCTTGTATCAAAATATAAACAAAGGCAAGCCATCAGTGTCAGAATTCCATGCCCACATTATTCACCCACCCACCAATCATTTTTGGGTTATCAAAGTGCTGACCAATAGTTTACCATTTTGGGCCAGCCTATACATTATGTAACACTAATGAAATTTTTCTCATCAACCTGGAACTGATCACTTAAGTTAAGCAATGTCTAACTTGATTCTAAACTTAAAAATTTTGTTTGTTTACATGTGCTATATATATATAATTAAACCTAAGTAGCCAGATAAACCTACCAAGGTTTTACTTATGCGGATCAGCAAGGAATACGGGCTAAAGAGGTAATGTAAGAACAAAATATATAGCCTACAAACACAAAACCATGACCATGTGACCAAACCAAGATTTTTTTTCTCTTGGTTTGGTCATGTGGTCATGGTTTTGTGTTTGTTGGCTATATATTCGGGTGTGTTCGGTTAGCAAGGTCGAATTTACTGTATTTGAACTTCAATCTTCTATGAATCTCTGCTCATGGCATATCAAATGTAAACAAATGACGTCACACATTATGAAATGGACAAAGTCCAACAATTATCTTAAGACATTTTTATGTTTATACATTCTTTTTATAGTTACAAATATTTAAGTAAATGCTCTGTTTATAATAAACAGTATTAAACAACATTTACCGGCCTGAATGTCTGAGAAATTTTCACAGAAAATATTCGTCCTCCAACAGGATTCAAACTCCCATACGGAACCATTATTTAGCTTGATGTGCCTTTAACCGATTTGGCCATATAGGACGAATATTTTCTGTGAAAATTTCTCGGACATTCAGGCCAGTAAATGTTGTTTAATACTGTTTATTATAAACAGAGCATTTACTTAAATACTTCTATCTATAAAAAGAATGTATAAACATAAAAATGTCTTAAAATAATTGTCGGACTTTGTCCATTTCATAATATATATATATATATATAATGTGATGGAGTGCTAAAAAGTTCTCTACCTGACCACAATCTTCTGATGTTTGGTCACTTAAATACTCATTTCCAGAAGAACTTTTCAAACTTGAAAAGTTCATGGCTTGATCTAGAAGAGATTCCAAAAAGAATTTGGTCAGATTTTGTGAATTGGGTCGTAAGTCAAGAACTTTACAGAAAACCTCTATATGTCATAGAAACAATTTTCTTGATAAACTGAACTTTGAAAAAAAAAAAAAAAAAAACCCTTCCTTACTAGAAGAAATCAAAAACAAAAAAATGGCAATGAAAAACACATATATGTGCAACAAATTTTTAAATAAAAAAAAAAAATATATATATTTTTTTTTACATGTCTTGTATGACATATTCATATCCCAATATGATTTTGAATAAATCTAGAAACATTTACAATAATGCAAATCCTTATCAGAAAATCCCTATTCTACATGGACAACTCCTTAGAATTCTGCCTGCAGATTACATTAAGTGGTTTGGACAATATACAACAGTGCTCTAATTTTAGCATGCCTGCTTTAAAAGAAATTATTTACTGTTAGCTTTATGTTGAATGAGGAAAAAATTCATACAATGTTGTCTTAGTAAATTTGGTTATTGAAGACAGGTGAAAAGAAATGACATTTAAAGGACAAAAGTAGACATTTCACAAAGTAAATACAGCAATTATTTGGTAGCCTTTATACTTCAAATAGAAGCAAATAAAGTTCTAAGAGTAAAGAACAGAAAATTATGAAAAGATGTAAGTGCTGGCATATGATTAAGATGGGTACTTCTACAAGATCGCTAAAAAAAAGAGCATAGCATGATGAAAAAGATGCCAAACTTGATGAAAACAAAATTTTATCATCTAAATGTTTATGTTATTATTAAGAGGAAAGATCAAAGTATTTTTTTGGTATTTTTTTTACATTTTTTAATCGTTCGTAGCACATCCGAAATTTTCGTTAAAAATCTTTTTTTTTTTTTTTAGTCAGGGAAGGTACCTAGATTAAGAGGATTCAAATTCAAGAGAAATAACCATAAGAATTTTTCATGTATTCATTTGCCAATGTAAATAACTCTGAAAGACAGAAAATCCTGAAAACAACATCTAGCTCGCTTTACCAAGAGATGTTGGTAGGAAGCAGAAACAACAAAAATCCTTGGGGAGAAAAGAATTGATTTAAACAAAGTCATAATAAGGACAAATAAATTATAGTATAAAATAATATTCAGAGAATGTATGATGAAGGTGATTTTTTTTTCTTCTCTGTGCCATGTGCCTTGAGGACATGGACCATCATGGATCTCCACAATTTTTAATCTTCTGTAGCTCTTAGTAACATTGGTCTCTTTACCATCCATCCATTCATACAAGTAAATTAGGCAGGTGATCTGTTGCTGTCCAGTCCATTTTACCTTCAATATGTCCTATAAGTGTTAAATTTTCCATGCCCTCTTTCTTCATTCTGTGTCCTAGAAATTTAAATAATCTCTGATTCTAATTGTAAATGTCCTTTTAATTTCTTGGAGATGAAGGTGGTTGGAGGAAAACTTGGAGGCAAGATAAAGATCTTAATGAGAAAAAAGTTTGAAGAAAATATAGTGGCAGTATGAACACCTTGAGAAGAAGGTGTTAGAGGAAAAGTAGAAGCAGCAGGAGCCACACACAAAAAGGTATGAAGAGAGAGTGGGAGGAAATGCAGTGAGAGGGACTATGAAGAGAGAGTGAGAGGGACTATGAAGAGAGAGTGAGAGGGACTATGAAGAGAGAGAACTATGAGAGGGACTGAGAGGGACTTTGAAGAGAGAGTGAGAGGGACTATGAAGAGAGAGTGAGAGGGACTATGAAGAGAGAGTGAGAGGGACTATGAAGAGAGAGTGAGAGGGACTATGAAGAGAGAGTGAGAGGGACTATGAAGAGAGAGTGAGAGGGACTATGAAGAGAGAGTGAGAGGGACTATGAAGAGAGTGAGAGGGACTATGAAGAGAGAGTGAGAGGGACTATGAAGAGAGAGTGAGAGGGACTATGAAGAGAGAGTGAGAGGGACTATGAAGAGAGTGGGAGGAAATGCAGTGAGAGGGACTATGAAGACAGAGTGGGAGGAAATGCAGTGAGAGGGACTATGAAGAGAGAGTGGGAGGAAATGCAGTGAGAGGGACTATGAAGAGAGAGTGGGAGGAAATGCAGTGAGAGGGACTATGAAGAGAGAGTGGGAGGAAATGCAGTGAGAGGGACTATGAAGAGAGAGTGGGAGGAAATGCAGTGAGAGGGACTAAGAGAGAGTGGGAGGAAATGTAGTGAAGGCCTGTATAAAATGTGAGTGAAAATAAAACCACTAAGATGCAAGGGATTGCAGAGTGCAAAAGAATATGAGAAAAAGAAAAAAGTTAACAAGAGAGAACAATAAAAGAACAAGAATTAAGACAGAATATGATTGACACTGCATTTAAATTTTTGAAGCTCAAAGAAGCCAGAGTTCCACAAGTGATGAGCGCAAGAAAGAAACAGCATAGAACTTAGTTACATCTAGCCACTGTAACTGTAAAATGGTGAAACCTTGCCACCAATCTAGTACATTTTTATTTTTTAAGCATTTCACTCCAAGTAAGGCACGAGTGCCACTAGCATGCATGGGTTACTGAAAGTGAAAGTAAGAGAAATGAGGGGTGTTTAAGGAAAGAATAAAGTGAAGAATGAGGATCAAGATCAAGGCATCAGAAGATGGCAATTGACAATACATTTAAATTTTTAAAGAATATAGTTATCAGTCAAGCAAGTAAGAAGAAAGGAGTTCCACTGTAAGGAAGTGTGAGAGAAAATCCTGTAGAAGAGGTGGTTACATTTAACTATTTCAACAGTAAAAGGGTGGGACCGAGATGACAACCATACATGCTTAAATTCAAGCAGTTGGGGCACCAGTGAAAATGGCTTGTCAGAGCAGTTGCCATGAAAATATTTGTAGACAGATGGATGCCACATCACATCTGTGAGAAAGTGACTAGAGTCAAGATGCCAGGTTAGAACCTATCACAATGTATATCTGTTTTTGGATTTTGTCAAGAACCTCAAGATGAACAGTGGGGGCATCTGACCATATATGGCAACAATATTCAATACAAGGACGAATGGTTGATTTGTAGGTTTGAAGGATGGACTCAGACGAGAAAAACCTTCTGGCACAACACAGAGAACCAACATTCCTTGCAGTAGATGAAGCTATTGACTCAATGTAGTTGTTCCACCTCAGGTCAATGGAAAACATAAGGACAAGAAGGTGCAGAGAGACACACTTTTGAAGTTGAGCATCAGCCATGCTGATAGCAGACAGGAACATTACTCTATGGTGGGTAAATGAGAGCAGTTTCATTTTGGAAGCAATAAAATTTACAAGCCATTTCCTACCCTAGTCAACCACAGATTGGAGGTCCTTTTCAAGATCAACAAGTTGACTGCCAACAAAGTAAATGGTAGCTTAAATTTATAAAGTCAAGGTACCAAAAAGGAAAGCTCATCATGCTGCTAGGAAAGTTGGTTCACCATGTTGTGCTAGACAATCTTACACTTTTATAAGTTTACCATTTGTCTATACTTTGTATATTGCTGGCATATATGGTCTGGTGTTCCTGCATAATATATCTAGAGAGGGTTGACAAAATCCAAAGAATCTGCAACTTTATTGGTCCTGACCTGGTATTTTACTTTCAGTCACTGCCATAATGTAGCTTCCCTGTGCCTTTTCTATAAATATTTTTATAGCAATTGCTCTGATGAGCTTTCTTCTTTGGTAATTTGACTTAAATTTAGATTTGCAGTTAAGACTTATTTTACTATTGAAATTGCTAGATTTAACAATAAGATCTATACTAAATTTCTTCCCTCTCACTTGTGGAACTTTTCCAGCTTCTTGCTTTCCTAAAAACTATGAATTTCAAAAATTTTAATCCAACATCAATTGACATCTATCTTTTTAAATCCTGTTCTTTTTTTATCATTTTTCCTCAATTTTGTAATGCCCGTTTGCAGGAGAGACTTCGTAAATCACAGATATAATAATAGTAATTTCTTCGAACAATATTCGGTCAGACACCACCAATTCCCACATATATATATATATATATATATATATTTTTTTTTCCTGTACCCATCACATGATCTAATTATTTCAAGATGAGGTCGACTGTGCTTGCTCTCTGGCAATCCATGTTCAAACTCAAGTGTCAGCAGCGATACTTTATTCCTATATGACACTTAACATTTTCTCAGTTTCTTTCATTCACTTTGTATCTGCATGGCTTTATTGCCTTTCTTGGAATGAAATGATGCCACCAACTGTAGATCCAAAACATGGCTAGCTTAGACATTAAATCTCTAAGGTTTTGTAGATATTCTTTTATTAAAAGAATTATGGCTAAGAAGGTTATGCTTTTTCTTTAAAAGGTGTTTTTTTTTTTAAATTCATTGAAATTACTATGCTAGTAGTTTTATCTCTCGCACTTCTCACCTGTGGAACTCTCTTCTACAGTCAACTACAATCTTCAAAAATTTAAATGCAATATCAATCTCTTTGAATCCTTGTCTTCTGTAGCCCTCTGTACATGTTTTCTAAGTTTCTGTCACTATCAATAACTCCTGGTATCTTAGTGGCTTTATCGCCTTGATTTGGGTGGAATGATTAAGAAAAAAAAAAAATCCGTCAGCTCCCACCATGAAACAAGCATTCTCTTATTTAAAGGAAAAAAAAAAAAAAAAGTTCTTATATCATGCAATCTAGTTATTACCCTGGGCAATCTTGAGTATTCAGTGCACTGACTGGGTTTCTCAACAAGAACTATGGGAAGCTGACAGATTACTTTCTCCCATAATGAGTTTTAATTCAAAGTATCAGTTAAATGTGGGTCAGAGGTCACAGCCAAAATAACTGGCGACAAGTCTTACAAGCCAAGATAAGAACAAGAGTAGAAATATACTTTTATATAATGGCTTCAGATATTCATTATTTAATCACATTTTTAAAGCGATAAAAATAAATCTCAAAACAACTGTTTGATATTACCAAAATATATGCACATATTTTGTGAGTTACACTTTGCCATCAGTAGAGTCCATGAAAAAAAGATATGTGAAAATTACCCATATTGGTATGGTAGACAATACTGGTAATGTAACAGACATGTCCTATTTTATACAAAAAATAGTGTCTTAAAGAACCTTTTAAGTTTCAATTGGCTCTTTTGATAAATATACTTTTAAAGTAAGATATGTTTACATGTATGTATTATAATTGTTTTCATTTCTAGCAAGGAGACAAGGTAGAGGATCAATTGTTATATTTAGTTTTACTATAAGGAAAATCAAGATTTTTTATTAGTACAATGTAAGTACAAAATTAAGCAAATATGCAACATTTTTCTTTCTTTTTTAATTTCAATTCAAAGTGGCTCATTTTTCAATGCATTTACATAGGAAATTGGACCCCATTATTAACTTTAATAAAAATTTGATAATTTTTCATTCATATATGTATGTAAAGTGATTTCATATCAAGACTGGCCAGGGGTTTGTCAGTCCTATTTGTTTACCTTAGTTTTTCAACAAGGTTGTCTGAATAAGAGAAACAAATATGACTGACAAACTCATGGTCAGTCTAGATATAAAAATCTCTTGACACTAACATCCCAGTTCAAAAATGATTAAATCTCTTAAAAAAGCATCTAACACAAAGATAAACATCTTTAAAAAAAAAAAAAAAAAAGGAGAAAATATACATTTTTTTGTTTTTTGATTTAGAACTAATATTTACTATTTTAATTTTTAAAGTTGTTTGCACTCATGGCTTTAATTTTGTGATTGTTTCAGTCTAAGTTGAGATGTTAATATTTTAACATATAGGTCAAGGTTATTTTAACAGTCTAGCCAGACACTCCCACTACCATGATATTGGGAGTTTATTTAAATTTATGTTTAGATTCTCATCAGCAGCTTCCTTTTTCTTCTTTTTTTTTTCTCCTCTTTCTCTCTTCTTTTATTCTTTAAATGTTTAAATTTTAAGCTCCTATATTATTTCTTCATACCTCTGAGTTGACAAGGCCTATAAGTTAGCTTTGTGAGCTAAAATAGCTATTCAAATGGGGTAATTTTGGATTTCTATTATATGTAATTTATATGCTCTGTTATAATGAATACATTGAGCTCTTTTTGTGGATCAGTTTTAATATTTTATATTATTAGGATTCACTTGGATTATATATATATATATATATATATATATATATATATATATATATATACACAGTGTTAGTCAAAATTATGTTAAATCATCTTGCATATGATGTATGTCTTGTGAATAAATGATTTCTACCATTTAAGTATTAACAATTTTGACTAACCCTGTATATGTTATATACACAGAATTGATAAATGAATGAAGTCTATCAGATGGAATATGTGAAAAAACCAATTGGGTGTTTAATTTTTTTTTTTTCCCCTGTTGACATTTCTCTCTCAAATAGCATAATCAAATGAGCAATAAAAAAATTACCATGGCAGCCTTGCACTTCAAAACTGTAGTGGTTATTTTGAAAAATTTGAAAGTTAATAAAATTTAATATATATTCAAACAAATCATTGACTGACTGATTTGTTTGGGGCTTATCAACCTTTTGCAGGTTAATTAAAACCAGAAAATATTTTTAGATTGTAAGAATTTTTTTTAGATAATAATGATTTACTGATACAAGTCATACTAATTAACCCACAGCTGGGAGGAGAAGAGGTGGATTCATACTTTTCTTAAGGGTATTTGCATACAAGTGAACAGACCAAAACTGGCTGGAATTGGAACTTAGCTCTTCGATTTCCAATAACAAACCATTATCCATTACACCACTCACACATTCAAGCTTGCAGCACCTGCTATTCTCAAGAAGTCACCCATCTAGGTACTGAGCAGGTTCAACATTACTTAACTTTGGTGATCATATTAGTATCAGTGTTTCAATGTGAACATAAGCCGTTTTTGATAGAATGACATACTAGTATCTATTGGTACTCATTAGAATGACATACTAGTATCTATTGGTACTCATTAGAATGACATACTAGTATCTATTGGTACTCATTAGAATGACATACTAGTATCTATTAGTACTCATTAGAATGACATACTAGTATCTATTTGAATATTATTTTTTTTAATTATTATCTCAGTTAGAAAAGACAATGTTATAAAAACAAACTTTGGATTAATCAAATTGAAATATCATAGCCCATTTAATAATTTCTTTTGATAATGCTCATAGACAGCGACATGTCAACAAAGAAGCAAAGAATATCAACATACAACTGGTTTTCGCATGTTCCATCTGATACAGAGAATTGTACAAGTTAAATATACTTACAGGCGGGTGGGCAGGTAACTGGGTGAATCATCCTTGTTTTTAATAATATCATTACACTTGCTGATTGTATCAAACAGCTCAAAAGTATCTCCAACACTGAACAGGGTGGCTAGACATCGAGCCAGCAACTTGCGAGTTGGGGGGCCTGGAGACTCACTAATTTGATTTGTCAGTTGTTCAACTAATTTCTTCTGACTTTCTTTAATGTCCGACTGAAAGAAAAAAAAAAGAAAACGATTCTGAGTAACAGAAAAAAAAAAATAAAGTAGAAATGTAAATCATACAGCAACATGTTTAAATATTATGGAAAGACTTTTCATAATTTTTTTTTGGGGGGCATTTATTCATGAATGATCTTTATAAATGTAAACAAAAATCACTTCAAAAGGTTTTAATCAATTTTAAATTTTAGATCAGTGCTTAAACTTTTTCATTCATGACCGGATTTCTCGCGACTTCAGGTATTAACCAACTACACTGAAAATACATCTATTGTCACTGCACTAGTCACAATGGCGTCACACACGTTTTATTACCGCAGCGCTTGCATGGCACATCACATTAAATATTGTGCGTTTGTGAAATAACATAGAAACTGAAATTCAAGAGTTTGAATTTAATTTTTGCAACCCCAGCATTTCTCTTCACGACCCATAATTTAAGAAGTCCTGTCTTAGATGAAACATTGTCACTTATTCTTGATTTATGAACTATGTTCTTTGCTCAACATACTTACTATGACAAAACACACACGTCTTGTGGCATGATGCTTGACAACTATGTGCATCGAGTTCATATCTTTTTTTATTATTTTTTGAAATAATGACAAAAACATTATTTTCCTTGCTTGTTCTCTTGTAAAAATCAAAAAAGTATATCGAACTACATTATAAAGGAAAAAAAGCCAATGCTAAATTTACACATATGGTATATACTTGTGTATAAGCAGACTTCATGTATAGTGCAACTTCTGATCTAATTTTTTACATGACCCCCACTCCCAAAAAACATTTTCCTATGTATAGTGAAACCAGTCACCAAAATGTAACTGTGTAGAGTGCAACTGTCTAATTTTATGTAAAACACTTATAAAAAGTTACACTGTATCCAAGTATATACAATAAATGCTATTCTTAGTATAATACAAATAAAACCGACTAGCAGCACCATGACTCTTTCACGGTTTTCCTATTTTAATTTATTGATTTTTAAATTAATGACTGAATATGCTCCTTGTGAATTCCATGAGTATAAAATAATCATAAAAATTCCCCTATTACATTGTGAAATATTTGAGGTTAACAAATTTAACAAAATATTAGAACAATGATAAGTATGAAAGCAAGAAGTAAGAGGGTACAAATGAAAAGATAAATAATTGACAAGGTTTTCAATTTCACTACTAAAAGCTTGAGATCATGTTTTTTTCTCTCTCCTTTCCTAAAACCAAACAGCCTCTTGCATACATTTCTTGTCTTTCCTCAGTCAAAATGGAAAGGTCTATTATTTACCAGAGGTAATGGCTTAACCTAACACACATGCTGACTCAGTAATGTAGCAACAGTCAGAATTATATGAGGTTATATGATAATTCTTAATGGTAACTTGGACAAAAATAGACAGCATTATGCAAGGCTTTAAATCACAAACATGTTAAAGACTGGAGAATAATATCCTGAAAGTTGAATTAAAAAGCAACACAATTAAGATGAAAGAAATACTAGTCAAAAAAATAAATATACAAGATACCCTATTTAAATTTAAAATATTTCTAACAATATTTTAGACTAAGTTTATTCCATGCAGAAATATTTCTCAATCTCAATTTACATGGATCATTACAGCTCAACGGCCACAAGAAATCCTCTCAAAAAAATCTGGGAAAATTCACAGGTGTTCTTTGATCAAATTTATTGATAAATCTCAAAAATCAGATCAGTATCTTTAATAATTTTAATCTACAGAAGGATGCTAAGGATATCATAGACCGAGTATGTGAGCAACGATGAGGTCTTAGAATGCAAACAAAGAGGAGGCTTATACTTAACATCAGGAAGAGGCAGCTAAGATCCTGGGACACATAATGAGGAAGGAGGGCCTGGAGAATCCGATACTCACAGGTCAAATAGAGGGGAAGAGAGACAAGAGAAACAACACATGACATACCTAGTAGCTTTAAGCAGGTGGATGACAGAACATGGTCTGGGGAGGTGGCAGAGGGAAGGAATATGTTGAGAGCTGCAAGGGATAGAGGGAGGTGGAGAGCCATGATCACCTACGTCCTGAAAGGACATGGCACATAAAAAGAAAGAAGAAAGATCAGGACATCTTGAAATTTCACTGCATTTTTGGCTTTCAAATTTCTGACCTTCATAGCTCTAAGGATATTGCATGTATCAATTTGAAATTTGGTGACAATAGTTAATACTTATTGTAGATTACAAAATATAAACATCTTAGGGGTGTTTTATGTACTTTTATTTTTATAAGGACTTAAAAGTGGTCAAAATGTTAAAATGCAAAAAGACACTTAACTTTCAGAGTTTCTCAGTTACAAAGTATATCATCATCGAAGTTAATTTTCCTGTCATTTATGCAGTAATACATCATTACTATACAGTAATACATCATTACCATGCAGTAACAATAACCATTTCTGTTATAGGAATGTCAGTATCAGTACTTGAAAATTGCTCAATATTTTTAATAACCTTAAATTTTCATGACATCAGCAGACCAATTAGATGGTTTAAGATTTTTTTTTACATTATTTACATTATTCAGACTATTGTCTTTATCTTTGTCGCCATATTTATTACAGCGTTTTGGCCTTCTTCAGGTGGTTGGAATGTCAAACTGAACCATTTATTTCACTCACTAGGTAGACTGTTCTAGTTCCACATGCCATGTTTAATGGATGTCAGTTATCAGTTATCTCCTGTTAATTCCCCTCTCCAAGTTCTCCACTGCCTTAACCGGGTATTGAACTCACACTCTTTGGGTCTTGTCACTGGATCTAACATCTTTAACCACTGTGCCATGTGTGCTTGTGTTTTGTTTTGTGGACAAATTTATATCTTGGGTTAAAACATTTCACTAGAACAACTTGTCATGTCAAAATCATGACTTTTACCAATTTTGGCACATTATAAATTCGATATTAAAAGAAAATATGAAAAAGTTGGTACCTTGATAATTTTCTATGCAAATAAACTATTTTTGGTTTAATTTTATCTTTGTTCCAAAAAGTTTAGATGATATGGGCCTTTAAATGTGGTTATTCACATGGTTTAATTTTTTTTTTTTTAACTGAACAAAGAAACTAAACCAAGGACATTAAAATAAGGATTTCACTAGGGTATTTGAATTTTAAATACATCAAAAGTTAAAATAGGGAAAATGCATCACAATTTCTTCATGTTAAGTAATTTTAACAATACTCAAATAAATAGACAAAAATCAGGATCAATAGTAATATATTTTGTATTATTTGTTAATGTAATATTGCTAATTATAAAAAATACAAACTGTTCCAATTTTTATATCCTTTGCTGAATGTTATCCAGCCAGTTATTGTTATCTGAAAGACAGTGTCCCAAAGTGATTACAAGTGGCTTCCTCTGTTTATCCAAAATGTCATCCATCTGTACATTTCTGAATACAATCAAGAATCTAACCACAGTAGTCAAATGTCCATTGCTTGATATCAAAACTTTCAAAAGCCACTGATATATATCTGAATATAATTCTACCTTGAACCTCATAAGAAAATTATTTGGGTTAATCCCATCATGAAAACAATTAGTGTGGCAAGTTGGCTTTTTTTATGATATGTATAGGCAAAGGCAGGCTGACTAGATAGCATTTATCTTTAAATGAGATATGAGGTTGTATAAGGATTATTAAAAAGTAAAATAATGACCTGAAAGCAGTTTCCAAAGCCATTAATTGACAAAAAGCTCGTCACTGGCATGCCACAAGGGTTTGTACAGAATGGTGTTGTCTGGCTATAGTTTATTCACTTATGAGACGGGCGAGCAGAAAGAGAGGGGGGGGGAGAGACGGGGGGGGAGAGAGACAGGACGGGCGAGCAGAAAGAGAGGGGGCGAGAGAGGACGGGCGAGCAGAAAGAGAGGGGGGGAGAGAGACAGGACGGGCGAGCAGAAAAGGAGAGGGAGAGAGACAGGACGGGCGAGCAGAAAAAGAGAGATAGAAAAAAATAAACAAGAGAGAAGAAAAAGAGTGAAAAAGAGTAATAAAGAGAAAACCAAACAGTGAGAGAGAGAGGCTAGCACAAAGAGAAAGTGATAGTGACAAAGAAAGAAAGAGAGAAGAAAATGGATATTAAAGAGAAAAAAAATAAAACAGAAGCCATCAATATTCTACTATTATTTAACTTCCCTGTCTAAAAGATTCTTGTAACTGACAAACTGAATGAAAATGAGATCAACAAATTACATTAAGATTAGATAAGGTTTCAAATACCCAGGAAAACAAGAACTAACAACCATGAATATGAGTTTGATTGACAAGAAACTAATCAGAAATTCAAATGAGTGTGATGGGAAGTAGGTGTCCAGCCAACTCCAGCACAAATCTTCTCACACTCTCCAACATTAATTCTCACACACACAGAGGTATAGTATTACCCATTGATCCAGGTTCCTAGCATCCAGACCCACAGTAAGTGACAATCCTACTGCTTCTCTTGTTCCTGGCTCAGATTTCATGAAATAATCAATCATTTTCAGATGACACTGATTGCATAGACAGCAATTGAACATTTGTTATTGTCCTGAACTCTCCAAGGCTGTGATTTGGACCTTCTTGCAAAATGGCAACAAAATTATTACCATTGCTCTTTTAATCACTAGAATACCAAATCGGTATCATTTTTACGCCTTCACTAGCAGTATAACCAGTCTTTGACCGGGTCTTTCCTTACTGGAAATTTTTGCCGTTCAATTGGAGCAGTTTACGTTTAAATTCAGCCCACCCAAAAATCAATATTAGGTACAACATATGGGCGCAACTGATGTACATTCCCAAATGGGGGGAGAGGGTTTAACAATTTGAACGGTGGGGGGGGGCTGAAAAGGAAACTGTATAATGATAATATTATTGTAATAATTTAAACTATTTTTATTAAAGTTTTTATGAAAGATATATATCCAAGAACAGATAGTAAATAGCAAAACATTGATGAGAGTTATAATGAACAGGAAGCAGTGGAGAGCCATTGTCATCAACAATTTGGACTCAAAACCAGCACTGAAGAATTATCTAACAAACAAAAAAAAAAAAAAAAATTCATCAAAATCGGATAAAAATTGTAGAAATGCATAAAGAACATGCAATCACACATTTTGAGAATTATAGATAAGCATTGATATCAGAACATACTCACTTCAAAAGAGGATCAGGAGTTTATTTTTTCATGAATGCAGTAACGTTTTTTGGGTTTTTTTTTTTTTTTTACTGCTGTAAACCCAATACAAGGCACAAGAGCTATTCAAGGTAGAGGGTTACTGAATTAGGTTGTATGTAGATAACAGTTGACATGAAACTTGAAGTTTTTAGTGATCATGGAAGCATCACCTTGAAAGTTTGTTAGAAGTTGTCTAAATGGAGCTTCTTTTTACCAATGTAATACAAAGCTGGAAAGAGAAGATTGGGCAGCTCCAGCCCAGATATGGCAGCAAGTCTCCATTTTTAGGTTTGATCTGACTAGTATACAGATAAAGCATGACAGAAAGAGCTAGGTACTTTCTGTCGTGGTACAAAAAGCTGGCCATTTTTTTTCAGCATCTTTAGCAGTGGATTATATATAGGAATCCCACTTGAGATCTCATTCAAAGTAGGGAGCCTGATTTGTATTATATTGATTGGTTTGGTTTGTTTTTTTATGGCATATCAACCTCAATGGGTTATTTAATGCCAAGATTTTTATTGCTGGTAATATTTTTCTTCAAAAATGTATCGATGATAATATTCTTTTCCAAAATGTATTAATGGTATATATATATATATATATATATATATATATATATATATATATATATATATATATTTTTCAAAAATGTATTGCTGTTAATAATTTTTTATAAAAATATATTGCTGGTATTAAAACCTATTTTTACACTTCCATAGTGTTTTTACTATTTGACCATAGTTAAGACCCTAACAGGTGCTACCCCAGGTCAGAGTGGACCTAGCAATTAAGAGGTGGTTCCACACTCCTGAAAACCTCCTGATCAGAGGCCTTGCTGTCGGATCTAATTTATTGTCTTACCCTGGATGCTATAATACTGACCTAACCACATCAATTAGTATATCAAGAAAAACAATCTTTCAGTAGCCATTAAAAGAACAAAGGAAAAAAAAAAGACACTGAAAGCAAATTATAAACAGCAAATTTCTAGCTTATAGAAATTTAAAAATAAAGCCTTATGGAATTTGGCTAAGAGTTTACCAGATAACTCCATTAGAGGTAAAATGCAATTATCATCAGTCCTATGACAGGGTATGGTAACAAGATCACTGAACAGCCGAGTACCTGACCTATCCCCCCTGATTATCTGCATCGACAGTTGGAGAGGTATTCATTCATGTGTAGCACATCTTGGGCAAGTAGACCTGGCGGAACCCATCCCTCTCCAAACCAAATCACAGTCAGTCCTCCAACTTCAAGGCTCACCTCACTTCAAGGCTCTATATCGCTGTAGATTCCATCAGATAAACCTTCTACCCAGGTCATTGACTTCAGTCTAGGAAGCTCTCTACCCAGTGATGGAGTGGTCATCACTGCACTGCTATGGAGCACAGTCTACTCAGTTGATCTAGATAGTACTGGGTTAGATGTTACTAGTAGCATCCATAGAGTAAACATATTACTATATATATATATATATACTGACATTATATATATATATATATATATATATATATATATATATATATATATATATATATATATATATATATATATCCACTAGCTGCCATAGAGTCCAATAATTAAGTCAGCCTTACTGATCATTTGCTCATGTAAGGAGTTTGATCCTCACTGGGTGGTTCACACTTGTAGCCTTGTGCCAGACATGTACGCAGACATCTTAGAGCTTCTTTAACAGCACATTTGTTAATTTAGTGACATTGGCTCACATTGTAAATCTCATTTTTGTAGCCTTATGCTGTTCTAAGATTAGAAAATACCTATATCCATTAACAGCAGTTTATTGAATTCAAACTGGCAACGTAAACAAATGTTCTGCTAAGCTACATTCTCTAGTTCCCCCCAGCTCAGGCCTTCACAGTTAAAACCCACCATGCCATATACATCATCCTCATTCCTTTTATATTCCTTTGATAAGGAAGTTCTATTTGAACAGCTTCTTTCCAAGAACTGTTTTGTGGAAGTCTTTCAAGGGGATGTTTCCCTAATCCTACAATCTTAACCTCTTCAAGTCTAGGGTCAACTGCTATTTATCATTTATATCCTCATAATCTACAATTCTTTCATTGATAAAACAAACTTATTCAATAACCTACCTTGAGTAGCTCTTGAACCTTCTATTGGATGAACAATAACATAAAAAAAAGGATCTAAAACAAGAGAAAATTGCTCCCAACAATCTATGAAGAGGCAGATATTTTGGCTTTTGTTTCAGTCACAAATGAATGATTCTACTTGATTAGGGAGAGACAAACACACACAAATAAAATTAAGATATTTCTCAAAACTTTTTTTACCCATTCACCCTTTTTTTAACCACATTTCAGAATGTTATTTCCAAGATTAACTTAACTAAAAAGGCGCATTGCAGGATTGCAGTTTGTAGAAAAATCAATATTCTAACAATTTGCATTCTTTTCAATTTTAAATTCCTCAATTATTGAGACTCACTGAATTAAAATGTACAGCTGACCACATTCAGAAATTCATGAAATTCACCCAAGTTTTTACATTATCTTTTTGCGTAAGAAACAGGGTACATAATGCAAGAAGTAGTTATTTCAAAGTTTAAAATATAGTAACCTTAATATTTACTTTCAAAAATATATTTTTGCATAAAATTAAGATCTTGTTGTTTAGTAAAGTGTTTAAGTCCCAATTATGTCTAGGTTTTCTATTTTTGCAAAAATATGTATATAATATTTTATGCACAACTGAAATAATTATGTTGTTAGAGAATGAAGTTACTTAGAAATTTATTAATTTTTATCAAATATTAAATGTTTTAACTTTGAAAAAATTTCAAGAGAAAAATAAACTATAACCTGTAATAGAAACCAGGAAATTTTGAAAATGGTGGTCACTGAACTGTTGGATATTGATCTTGGTACAAGAGAACAACCTTGAAAAGCTAAATTTTCAATATTGCAAAAGAGGTATGGTGTTCAATATATCAGTGATAATCCAACTTGTAGCACAGTGTGCCTAAATTTAGAATGCGGTGAAACTGCTTGTAAGAATCTGGGAAAAAGAAGCATATAATGAGAAGATGCAAAATGAAAACAACATAGTGACTAGATTCAAAATGTAGTGCCCAGATAGAATGCACTCAACTCACTGCTTACAACGTGAACATTCAAGATTTTCCCCGATGCTATCATTAACAAGATTCTTTGCTTAAGAAATTGGCTAACATAAGGAAGAAAAGAAAAAGTTTGGAATAACAGGCAATTTATCCATCTTTCTTTCTCTAACTCGCCCATCTCTAAATTTTTCTTTTTTTTATCTGAATAGATTTGGCGAAAGAGCAGATTTCACAATTGCAATGTAGAGGAGAGGGAAGGGGAAAGAAAGAGCAGAGATAGAGGGGGGGGGAAGAGCAGAGGGGGTGGAGAGCAGAGAGGGGTGGGAAGAAAGAAAGAGCAGAAGGGGGGGGGGGGAAGAGAGAGCAGAGGGGGGAGAAAGAGAGAGCAGAGGGGGGGGAGAAAGAGAGAGCAGAGGGGGGGGGAGAAAGAGAGAGCAGAGGGGGGGGGGAGAAAGAGAGAGCAGAGGGGGGGGAGAAAGAGAGAGCAGAGGGGGGGAGAAAGAGAGAGCAGAGGGGGGGAGAAAGAGAGAGCAGAGGGGGGAGAAAGAGAGAGCAGAGGGGGGGAGAAAGAGAGAGCAGAGGGGGGGAGAAAGAGAGAGCAGAGGGGGGGAGAAAGAGAGAGCAGAGGGGGGGGGAGAAAAGAGAGCAGAGGGGGGGAGAAAGAGAGAGAGGGGGGGGAGAAAGAGAGAGCAGAGGGGGGGAGAAAGAGAGAGCAGAGGGGGGGAGAAAGAGAGAGCAGAGGGGGGGGGAGAAAGAGAGAGCAGAGGGGGGGGGAGAAAGAGAGAGCAGAGGGGGGAAAGAGAGAGCAGAGGGGGGGGAGAGAGAGGGGGGGGAAAGAGAGAGGGGGGGGAGAAAGAGAGAGCAGGGGGGGGGGAGAAAGAGAGAGCAGGGGGGGGGGAGAGAGAGGGGGGGGAGAAAGAGAGCAGAGGGGGGGAGAAAGAGAGCAGAGGGGGGGAGAAAGAGAGAGCAGAGGGGGGGAAAGAAAGAGCAGCCAAGAAAGACAAGCAGGGAAAGTGAGAAAGAGAACAATGAACGGAGCAGAAGAAATGAAACAGAAAAACAATTAGTGGAAACATGAAAGAGAATATCCCTTAATTTTGGCAAACACTTTTTCATTAAAAAAAGTAATTTAAATAAATTTAAAAATACTTTCAAAACTGTAATAATCATAATAATTAGCTCAAAAATATTTTTAAAAGACAGCAACAGAAAAAGAGACAATCTTTTTCAAATATACAACTTACAATATACACCAATTAAAATATTTTTGGCAACTACAAAATCCATAGACGCATATGCAATGTGGTTGGCCCTGATCTGACATCTCGTCTACAGTCACTATCTTATAGACACGTCATCGCCTCCCTCTGTCTTTTCTACAAATACTTTCACAGTAATTGCTCCAAGCTACTTTCGCTACTTCCCAAACTGCATGAATTTAAATGTGCCACTAAGTTGGCATTTCAGTTCCACTCTTTCACTGTCAAAATGGTTAAATATAGCCATCTCTTCTACTTCAATAGCTTCATGTTTCACTCTTACTGTCTGTGAAACTCCTTTCTGCTTACTTGCTTCCCTGATAGCTATAATCTTCAAATATTCAAATGCAATTAGATGTCTTTATCTATTCCTTGTCCTTCTCTTCATCTTTTCCTCTATCACACCTGCCTCTTTACTCTTGCTCCCACCCCTTGTGTACTCGTGGCACTCCCACCTTGCTTGGGGTTAAAAGTTTAAAAAAAAAAAATAAAATAAAATAAAATAAAATAAAACTTAAAAATAAAAAAATAAAATAATATACTCTTTTCAATTGTAAAGAGTTAAATGAAAAAGTAAATAATGAAAAATAAATGAAAATTGAAAAGAATGAGTAACTTGAAATAAGAAAAAAGATGGCAGGGGAAGCCATTTGTAAAGCTTCAGTTTATTGATAGAATCATATGTAATGACAAAACAGTTTGGAAGGGAATTTACAAAGTGAAACTGGAAAAAAACGTAGCAGGTGGGTTCCATCTGCGGCCCACAAATAACCTGAGGCTGAATCATGACTGTTTTTGTCTATAACTTTGACATGTCATTAACATATCCAACATTACTTGAACTAATGTTCAAATGTCCTCTTTAATGATTTGTTAAGCAGCAAAACATTGTATTAACAACAGAAAGAAGCAATTCAAGCATCATTCCAAATAATGTTGGATACAAGTTTGTTTATAGGGGGGGGGGAAACAAACAAAATTTTAAAACAAATTTCACAATTTATTTGTCAAAAAAAAAAAAAAAAAAAAAAAAAAAAAGGATTGTTTAACTTTGAGAAGCAAAATTTTTTTAAAAATTGATATTTTGCTCATAAAATTTCTTTGCATTTGCAATACAACTCAGTGGCAGGCATCTTAGCTAACAAATTTTTGACCAACACAAAGGTCTTTAGTTTTTTTCTTCTTTTTTTTTTTACTGAAATCCCCACCCCACCCTGATATCGGTTTGTTCAAATATATTTTTATTTATAAATTGTATTATCTGGCTTTTTTTCACACCACCCAAGTACAGAAATTAATATATATATATATATATATATATATATATATATATATATATATATATAATAAATAAAAAAAACATCTACTTTGGCAGCATATCTGCTGATGCCAGACAAAGAAATATCCAGAAGACTGACCAAGGCTAATTAAATTTTTCTGGATCAAAATCTCATCAAAAGACATAAAAAGCAGAATCTACAAAATCATGATGCTGTTCACACTTCTATATGGCACAGGTCCTAGATAATAAACCACTTGTGCTAATTTTGCTTCCATCATTGATTGCACTGCACTATCCTAAAACTGCATTAGAGTAACTTTATTAAACACTGAGGTCCTAAACTTTGCCAGGCCCACAAGTGTTGGAACTATGCTGTAAAAGAATCAACTGCAGTAAGCTTTCCATGTGGAAATGATAGAAGACTTGTCTTTCAAAGACATTTCTATCTGAGAGACAAGACTTAAACTGATAGAAGAAGTGAAACTTCACTTCTTCTATAAGTCATGTACATCCTATGTATATGGCTTATAGATGAAGCGAACCACGTACTGGGTAAGACGATAAACTATGTCCAAAAAGTAAGGCCTCTGATCAAGAGGTTTTGAGGGGTGTGGAACCACCTCTTAATTGCTGGTGTTCCCAGGTCCACCCTGACCTAGGGTGGTAGCACCTGTCAGGGTCCCAGCTATGGGCAAATAGTTAACCCTACAAAACATTTTTGAAAAAACAAATATTACCAGCAAAACATTTTAGAAAAAATAAATATTACCAACAATAACAATTTTGTCAGCATTAAATAACCTATTGAGGTTGATATTCTTTAAAACAAAACAAACCAAACAATTCATGTGCCATGTCTCTTCAGGACATGGGTAATCATGGCTCTCAGAAGTTTTTCTATTTTTGCTAAGCCCCACCCCCTATTTCACCATCTGTTCACAAGCTTGTTAGGTAGGTGGTTAGTGATCTTTTTTGCCCTCAATAGGTGAAGGTTGTTTTCCAATTCCCCTTTCATTCTTCATACATTCAGGAATATCATATTGCTTTCAGATTTTAAAGATAAGTGTTCTTTTTATTGCCATTTTCTTTTTTTTTTTCCATTGCTTATTTGTGTCATGCCAAGGAATTCTCAATATCCTTCTGTAGAAGCCCAATTTTTATGTGTGTATATCAAAAGGAAATCCAACCCTCTTTCCTTTGCTTTTAACAAAATTAAAGACCATGTCCTGTGGATTCAAGTATCATCAGAAATTGCAAACAAGACAGGTGATGTACAAAACCTTGCTTAATCAGTCAAGAGCCTCCAACAATGGGAAAAGATGTGAAAACCATCCCAAATTTTTCTTCACTAAGCACAGCTATAATATATATATATATATAGGAAAAATATTAGATTGTATTTCACTAAAGGGTAATTCTGGATGATAACATTTTAGAGGAAAGCAGTCATTGTAATTAAAGAGCTAAATAACAAGAGATAGATCGTTAATAAATTATAGAGACAGTCATTAGTGAATATATATATATATATATATATATATATATATATATATATATATATAAAAAAAAATAAAACAAACTATTGGTAAAGCTTCCAAATACAAACCTACAAACCCTTGGCCTGTTAAATGAAAAACATTGAAATGACAAAAGAAAACTAAAAGGAACCAAGAACAAACAAATAAAAAAAAAACAACAAAAGAGAATGTAAAACCATGAAAACAAAGAATAATGAAAAAGACAAAAGAGAAAGAAAAACAACAACAACTTAAGCAATAACCCAAAGTGCTTAATGTCAATAGCAAACAGAACAGTAACACAAAGCAAGAGAGTAGGTTCAAACCATTGCTGAGTTTCTCATAACACAAGATCAAACAAGATGCTTCTAGTTGACAAGGCTTTTGTTGTTGTCATCTGACAAATAATGTTGCAAGAAACTCGGTAACAATTTGGATCTATACTTTGTGCCGTTTTGTTGCTTTATGTGTGTGTATGTGTATATATATATATATATATATATATATAGAGAGAGAGAGAGAGACATGATAAAAATATATACTTAAGGTATGCTATAATTATGGGTTAAAGTGTTAAATATCAAGGATATAGTGATTGTAAATGTGAAAGCTGACACTGATGTAAAAAAACAAGCAGCAATAGTCTGATGTTTAAACACAATCTTTAAACCATGAATAAGTTCATTTCAGCTTACCTTGATGATCCATTTAGGCAAAACCTAGGTAGGTAGTTCCTGACCCACAAGGATTTTTTATACTCTGCTCTACTTAGTGTATTGAGCACTTTACTTTTTTTTCTTTTTATTTACTTGATTGGGACTTTTTTTCTTTGGACTAAAAATTACATTATTCAGATGTTTTTAGTCCCCCCCACCCACATACCTATTTTTTTAATTTTTTTTTTTTTTTTTTTTTTATTATTCGCAAATTGTGTTATCCAGCATTTTTTTTTTTATTATTTTTACACCAACCGAGTATAGTTATTAACATAATATATAAACTTTTCTACATCATCTTATAATAAAATTATTTTTCTAGCAACAGAAAACAATTTAGTCATGAAAACTTTGCCATTCCCTTTGAACTTAGTTTTCTATTTTATGACATGCTAAACTTCGACTAGTTTGCCTTTGCAGCATTACCATGCTTGCCAACACCTTGATAATAGCAAGGTCACTCTTATAGTTTAATTATTCAATGCTTAATAAAATATTCTTTGCTTAGTTTACTATTCAAGAAACACTGAAAATAAGAAAATGTAAAGAAACCATTTTTTTTTCATATTTTCTAAGTATTAGGTTGGTGCAAAAATAACGACGTAATAATGTCGTTTTTTGACGTATTTTTTAACGTCAAAAAACGACATTATTACGTCATTATTTTTGCACCAACCTAATACAATGCAGTTACAAAATTATATAAATTTTTTTTTTTTTTTATGGCATGAGTAGATGTGTTTTTTTTTTATTATTATTTGCTATATCTCTTCATGACATGGACAATCATGGCTCTCCACAACTTCCTATCTTGTTATAACTAAATTTTGTTCCTTTGTTTTTCTATGTTTTTGTGTCTCTTCAGGATGCAGACAATCATAGCTCTCCACAACTTACTGTCCTGCATGAATTTAAGCATAACACTAGGTTGGTAACTAGTTCTCATTTTACTGTTGAAAAAGCTAGATGTAACCATAAGTTATATTCTAATAGTTCCACAGGTGAGAATTGCAGTTCTCACCTGTAGAACTCTCTCCCAGTTTCTTTCTTCCCTGTCACATTCAAAAAGTTTAAATGCAGCATCGAACACCATATTCTGTGTTCTTGAAACCTGTTCTTTTATGGTTCTTATTCTCAATAATGTCTTTTTCATTTTTCTTTCACACCATATCTTAGTGGCATTATCGCCTTTGTGGGGGTTAAAAAAAAAAAATACACATCTTTGATGATCTATGCTCTCATGATGTTTTCTAGAATGGACTTAAACTAGTATAGTCTTTTAATTTTTTTAAGTGTTCCAGT